TTTAACCTGTGAATAGGTTAGAGATAGAAGGCTAGCTAGAAGCTACCTAGGGCTTGGCCTTCTAGACTGCCAATAATCATAGAGACCATGGATTTCAGGAGGTCACAGGGTCCACCCCCTGCTTCAGTCCAGCCATTCCCCTGCCATAACTGAATCTGGCTTCTCAGGATAAACCCCAGCATGGCTGGGTCTTAGGAAGCTCCTGTCCCTTTCTAACCCGAGGGGCTGGGATGGCTGCTTCCTAAGTCTCTTCGTCCTCTGCCAGTGGTGAAGAGGCACAGCTCTTTGGAAATGAGAATCCCTTCTGCTCGAATCAGCAGCTCTGGCCCCATTCCCGGGAGTGCCAGCTGCAGGGAGTGTGCACCGGAGCCTGGCAGAATTGCAGCATGGGCTTTTTCACAAGCAGACAAGGCCCTGTACCATCAGGGGAGGCCCAGCCTTCCCAGGCATTCCAGGACACCAGTCATCTAGGCCAGCGGTGCTTCGGGGACCCACAAGACACTCTGGAAACTTCTCTTGAAGACAGGACTTTTAGCCGGGCTTTGCAGCAGTGTGGGACACATGGGCTCATGGAGGGGCATCTTCCTCCAGAGAAGGCCCTGCTCCCCCCACACACACACCTGTCCTCTATCCTTTTTCACAAGATGTAGGCCCAGAGATTCATAGTCATTTTCAAGAGAGCAAAGCTATCTCCAAAGAACAAAGACTTCCTCCTCAGTGAGGGTTTCCAGAGCATATACCATAGGCCCTGCGACCAATCATTCCTAAAGAGTTTCCAGGAATGCGGGAGGAACAGCAACACATTAGTGTGAGCATATGGCAGTCTGGGGGACCACTTGGATGGGGTTAGTGCTCCTTTGGGTTAAAAACAGCTTTTAGTTAGGCACCAGTGACTCATGCCTGACGCATGACTCCTAGCTACTTAGAAAGGCTGAGATCTGAGGATCATGGATCTGAGGATCACTTTCTCAGGAAAGTCCAGCAGACTCTTATGGCCAATGAACCACCAAAAAGCCAGAAGTGAAGCTGTCACCCAAGTAGTGGAGTGCCAGCTTTAAACAACAACAAAAGCTAAGGAACAGCACTCAGACCCTGAGTTCAAGCCCCAGTACACATACACACACACACACACACACACACACAAACACACACACACACACACACGCAGCCTTTAACCTTACCACCTTAGAACAATGCGTGCAAATGTTTACATGCACCATGTATTCAATACACAGGGTATGGCTGCTACACACTTGCCAGGCCAGAAGAAATGTAAAGACAAAGGTAAGGTCTCTGCCTGCAGGTTCTAATCCCAACTCCAAGACTCCCCAGCTCTGCACGTGGAAATAGGAGAACAAGAAGACTCTTGTAGAAGAAGAAAATAAGCCCCCATGGTGGGATCACCCAGGGTGCTGTTAGCAGAGGGAGACATTAAACCCAATCTTCCACATCCCAGCTCCAGCAACCAATCACCATGTCACCACTCCACACCATCGGCCCGGCCCGATAAGAGAGCAACTAGCTCCCGCCCGCCTTCCTGGTGGCTAGTGAGGTTGAGTGAATTAATGCATGAGGACATTAGTGGAAGAAGGGAGGGGCAATGAGTAAAAGCAGAGTGCTCAGGGCAACAAAGAGCAGCCACTGAACCCTAAGTCCGGCACGGGGAGGGGTGGGGGGAGGAGGAGGGAGCCATTAAGTGACTGTATCACCAAGTCACACGGTTGTCACCTTAAATATTCATGGACCAGAGGTATGCGCCCAGGCTGGACTGCAGACAGCCCAGGCCTACCTCATGTAGATTAATGCATGAGGGCTAGGGTTGGGACTGTAGGCTCTGATTCTCCCGCAGCTAGGTTGGCTCCCAGAGCAGGTGCAGGCTTCTGCAACTCCCAGGCCCTGGGTGAGCCACCCACGCCTGTTTACATACACCCACATGCCCAGCAGGCACTAGCAGTTACTCACTCAGCTCTGGGCACAAATAAAGGGCAAAGCAACACGCATATACACACCTTCACAGAAGGCTAGCGCCAACTCACCCGGTACCAGAGCCTGCGCTCTCAGCCACACTCCACCTCCCGCTACCCACAAATGTGTCCCACACCTGTCTCTCGGTCTCCTCCTCCCCCTCCTCCTCTGGGAGTTCTCTCCTCCCTCTCTTCCTTCCCTCTTCCTGCTCTCTCCTCCTCCCCCCCTACCCTGGCATTTTACTCCTCAGACCCCTCTCTCCACACAGTCCTCTCAATCTCTCCCCAAGGACCTAAGCACTCTCTCCCTCTTCTCCCTCTCGCTAACCCTCTTCCTCCCCCTCTCTCTTTTTCTCTCTCCTAATTTGTAGCTTTCAAATAAAGCTGGGGAGGGGGGGGCAGTCTCTGAATCTGGAACTTACAAAAGTGAGACTTAGGGAGGAATTCTCATGATCAGACCAAAGTTTGAGGCAAAAGAAGGAACGGACAAAGAATCTAAGCACTCTAACAGCCAAGAGCTGGTAGCTCACACCTATAATCCTAACTACACTTTGAGAGCTGAGAGAATTGTGGTTCTGAGCCATCCCAGGCAAGAAAGTCCACGAGACTCTTATTTCTAATTAACCACCAAAAAAAAGCCCAAAGTGGAGCTGTGGCTCAAGTGGTAGAGTGCCAGCCTTCAGTAAGAAGGTTAAGTGAGAGTATGAAGGCCCTGACTTCAAGCCCCAGTAAGCACACACACACACACACACACACACACACACACACACACACACACAGAGCTAGGCACTCTGGAATGTGTGGAGAAGTGATCCCTAACTGCCAGTCCTGCCTGAGGACAAGAACCAGTCACAAGCAGCTCTTGATGAAGTGTGTCAGTCATCTTAACATGCCTAAGACTGATACTCAATCTTCATCTTAGGAGCCAAGAACTTCACCCATTTCACAGAGAAGTCTAAGGCTCAGTGAGCAAGGCCTAGTACCCAGAGAGAAGGATGGAATCGATGACTTCAAGTCCCACAGCCCTGGGAGAAGGGGACAGGGAAATTAACCTAGTCAACATCCCTTTCTCTGAGTGTGTCCCACTAAGAGGAAGGTGAGTGAGGAGAAGAAATGGTCGCTAAAAGACCAGGCCCTCCATCTTCCCAGCTTCAAGGCTGTCACAACCTTCCATTGCCCCTTCTGGGGTTGGGGGTACACAGACATTGGTGGCCACTGGGGATGAGGGGTGCTTGGAAGCCCGATCCACTATTTAAGGACGAGGCCCAGTAGTCCCACAGATTGCAGAGGCCTGCCCCCCTGCAAGTGTAGTCTGGGTGTGAGAAAGCATTCCTAGAGTCCAAAACATCACCCAGGGGCCAATAAACATGCAAAGCAAGGTCTAGCAGCCAGCGCCTTCAGGGTCTTTATAATCCCAGCCTTTGCCCTGAGAAAACTGAGCCGAGTCTCCGAAGTAAAAAGATCCTGCTAGGGGAGGAGGACTCAGGAGGCTATTTTGGGAGGTAGTTGGGGAAGGGGCCAGACAAATATGGGCCAAAAGGGTAGAAGACTGAGAGTTGAAGCTGACCCCTTCAAGGGGAGAATGGATGACCATCAGATTCCCCAGAGAAAAAGGCAGAGATCTGCGAAGAACCTGTCAGTTGCTTGGCTTGGGGTTTAAAAAGAAACAGAGCTCCTAGCTGAGCCCCTGCCCCTCCTCCAGTACTCCCCGTCCTTCCTTCCAAGGCTCTGCTCCCCTACCTCCTCCCCCTCCCCCCCTACCAAGAGGCATGCAAGCTCAGTGCCCAGCACCTCCCCTCCCTCTGTCCAATGATCCCCACAGTCTCTAGCACTGGGCAAACCACAGCCTATGAATATCCTATCTCCCTCTCTGGCTAGTTTTGGTTGACATCTTGATCTCACACCAAACCAGTCAGTTCTTCACATAGTCTAACCTCCATGTCTTCATGCATAGCAGCTGATTTTCATCCTTCTGCCAGTAGTGAAACAAGACAGAGAGCCCAACTGTAAACATCTCCACCCCGACCCAAGGGGCTTCCTTTAACCAACCCACCCCATTTGCCCCTTGCCAGCCTTTCACCTATTTTACAGCCCCATAATGTAGCAAGCAGAAAGTGAAATCTATTTCACAAGCATTCTTTGGCTCCCTATCCCCAGTTGCTCCTTCTGCAGAACCCCAGATGGTCTCTTTCCAAGCTCTCCACCTATTCCCATTGACACTTGAAGACAGGACCCTCCCTCCCCCACCACACACACACCCTCTGAGTCCCGCAGCTCCTTCTCCCTGCCCCGATTCTGTGTCCAGACTCTGCAAATCCCCTCCAAGTTTTCATCTCCATTCTAGTGTTTTCCTCTCAAGGGAGTCCCTCTCCAAGTCTAACCTTAATCTTCTTCCTGCGGCATGTCTAGATTCCCATTTTTTTCCCCACCTTTTCTCTAGGTGACAATCGCCTTTAGCTCATAAATGGAAACTCTCGCGTGTGCCACCTGCTCTCCGCTGCGTCCCTCCACTTTCCCACCCCCGCCCCCCAGAACCTGCCCAAGCCGGGAGAACTTCTTGATAACGGCTCCCCCATCTCCACTCCCTGCCCACACCTCCGAGGATACCTGAGTACCCGCCCTGGGCGTCCATTAAGACAACCCCAGGGCGGCTTCTGGCTGGCTGGCCCCTAGGGGTGGTGACCCACCCACCCCACCCCCTCTTCCTCCCCCGAGCAGCTGGCGCAGCCACCAAGGGGTTAAGGTTCCAGGCTGGGGAGGAGGGAAGGGTGGAGAAGGGGACCGGGAGGGGCGGGTGCCGAGCCAATCGGTGGCCGCAGAGTCCCCGGTGCCGGGGAGCCCGGAGCGCTGTGCCGGGAGCCTCGCACAGAGCCGAGCGCGCCGGGCTTGGGGCCGGGGCCGGAGC